AGCTACCAGTTTTGAGCACCGCTCTCGCGGTCTCAATTCCATATTTTGCAACTTACCTTAATTTCATTATTGAAATTGTTCTCTACGGAGAGAATCGAGTAAATGTTACTGGACGCTTCCCTGCGATGGTCATTTAAAACACGAAGATTACAACGAAAGTAATGTGTCCTTCGGACGTCACGCTAAACTAAAATGCGTGATACAACTATTTCAACTCCTGAGCCGCTCAAATTGCGTCCATCGAGTTGAAGGCGAACTTGATTTCTACCTCCAGTTTCCATTTCTTCCGACTTGACCGCGAGAGCGTTGCTCAACACTTACTGTTGCGACTTATAACTCCATAAATGCTTCTCGGTTGGAAAAAACTAGGTCGAAAAGGTTGTAAGTGAATCGGTGATATCCGTGGCTTAAAAAGTATAGGGTGAAACCGTGTGGGTGAATAGTTCCCTCGGCAAAAAGACAGTAGGTGCGTAGTCCTGGCATCTTTGAAACATCCCCATAAAAAGTCCGCCAGTTTTCTTTTTAATGATAGAAGCAGTTCATGAAGCCAAAGGTGGTTTTCCCGATCAAAAATGAATCTACTAAAACCACCCTCATTCAATAGGTCCTCCTCGATGGACCGGGACTTGAAAATGCTTTGAACATAAGAGCTGCTTTCATAGCGTTCTCTGGCGCTTTGCGACACCTAGCTGCATGCCGTACAGTCCTCAATTTTCCTGAAGTCCTTCAGGGAGTTGGTGCTCCTTCATGTCTTATAAAACCCCCTGTTGCCATCATTTTCCTGGACATCTCCTTCGTTACCTCCCGGGACTCCCAGAAGCAATCGAAGCTGGCATCTTTTTTGGCAGCCTTTCTCCTGTATCTGTCATCCATGCTGTGTGGTCATGATCTCGAACGAATTGTCTTGATATTTGGAACAATACATACATATAAGTCGTTTTACAACACTCCCTCGCGCTCTACGACTCCTAACCTCCACTGCTCTCTTTCGAACCACAAATCTTAGGGCATTGAGCACCTTAACATTTCCGCTTCAATCCCCTCCCTCCAACCTTTCATTGGGCGCCCTCTGCGTCTTCTCCCAGGAGAAACCCAATCAAGGACCTTCTCCGGCAACCTGTCTCCTGCCATTCTCTGGATATGACCATGCCAAATGAGTTGCTTTGTCATAATGTCATGCACGATGGTCTGCTTAGCATCCATGATCTCCCGTACCGTCTCATTCCTGACGCGGTCCTCTCTGGAAATACCAGTGGATCTACGCCAGAAGTCCATCTCTGTTGCCTCTAAAACCGCCCGGGTCCGCTGTTTCATCGGCCATACTTCACACCCGTAGGTTACCACGCTCTTGACAATCGCGTTGTAGATCCTTCTTTTGTTCTCGTTGGAGATCCTTTGGTATTTTTATTTGGAACTATGCTAACGATAATCGGAGTGAAATTTGGCAAATGCGCGTGGCGCGACGTCACCCGGTCAGTAGATTTCCCTGGCGGAAACGGCGCGGTAATCAAACGCTGGATCTGAAGACGGGGCTGGCGCTCGGAGTCTCGGAGCCGGGCAATCTTTTCACTGCTCTCTTCCGAGTCCTGCCGAAATAAGTAGGGCACTCGCCGCTGCCCGCTGACAATATGACAGCACACGACACACCGAGCGCGGTGTCGAACAGCATGCGATTTCAATCACCGGGCAAATTATGAGCTCCTGGCGTCATAATAACTCCACTACGTCGCGTCGCCGCGTCCTCGTCGCTCCACCTTCACTTTTATTTTTCATCCGAGCAGACTAGCCTATGCTGCCGTCCTAAAGAAGAAAACCGTATGAGCCTTCAGGCTTTGTCAAATTTCCTTCGATCAAATACAAATTTTCAAGGAAACTGCAGGATATTTAGACCGCGTTGAACAGAAAGGAACCAAGCCACATCAGCTATTGCCAAATTTGATTGGGCAATTTAATTTTTTACCCAACTACGGTTTTGCGGATTTTTCTGCAAATTTCAGTGAATTTTCTGCGCAGTACGAAGCAAATTCCTCAAAAATGTCAAAGGAATCCGCAAAAACGTTCTCTTGTAAAAAATGAAGTTGCTCTATTAAATTTGGCAATAGCTGATGTGGCTTGGCTCCTTTCTGTTTAACGCAGTCCATTTTTCGTCAAATTTTTTAGACAATTTTGTACAGAATTCGATCTAAAATATCTCAAAATTCCAATGAAAGATTTGCATAACTTTCCTTAAAACAACATATTTTATCCGGGGCAATTTGGCAACTATCAAATGTGCATACGGCGTTCTTCCTTAGCACAGCCAGTGTATATGAGCATGCTACCGCGCTAGGCCAGAGCTGCCGTGCGAAGGAAAAACCCCGTGCGAACAACCGGATGTTGCCAAATTTCCCCAATGAAACATTGATTTTCAGACAATTTACAAATATCTTCCTTGGACATTTTCGGATACTGTAGGGAAAGTTGCCGATGAAATTCTCAAAAAATTGTGAGAAACATACACACAAGTTTCCCTGTAAATTCATATTTGATCACAGGAGATTTGGCAACGCTTAATGGCTCACACGGCGTTTTTCCCCAGCACGGCAGAGAGCAGAGCACCGTATCGACACCTCGACGCGGCCCAAGAACCACGATAGAACATAATTTTATTTCCCTGGTAAATGAAAACTAATTTTCCTAAAAGTTTCAGGGATGATGGACGTGATTGCGATGAAATTTTTTTAGAAATTCAAAGAAAAACATTCATAAATAAACGGAAAAATTCGTATTTCATCCGACGATATTGGCAACGCCAGTATGTTCATACGACGTTCATTCCGCGTGATCGTGGCCAGAGAGAGGTGTTTTTTAACTCAAGGAACAATCATGATACAATGGTTCCGGCTCCCATATGTTTTCGGTATTGCATAACATTTGGAATGAAGGCGAATACTGATGCACGTATTACTCTCCGGGTGTGGTTTTTTTACTTGAGTTTTTCCGTCTAGACTTAGAGTCCCTTTATACCCAGAGTTAAGACTACTCACTTTTGGTTGGGCTGAAAGTGGCCTAAAAAAAAATCCAATTCTGATTGGTTCTCGCTCATGGAGGCCGAAACGAGTGCACCAACATTGCGGTACCTCGAATGTGAACAAGAATAATGAAAATATTACCTAATTGTGGTTTATCAAGAGTAAATTGTCATTTCCATCGGTCCAAAATGAAAAAAGATTAAGAAATTATTCACAAACCAATTTCATTTTTTTTAATTGATCAATTTGTTGATGTTGTTGTTTTTGTGTGACAGACATCGAAGGATTCCTGATCCTTATCCCTCAATATCGTTCCTTTGGGTGCACTCGTTTCGGCCTCTATGGCCAGCCAAGGCCGGCTGCCAGTCAGCTGATAATCGAGTTGTCTTAACTCTGGGTATAAAGGGACTCTATCTAGACTAGGAGCAATGAAGACGTGCGACGGGGGTAATGAAGATAGGAATAATTAATGATGGTTTCACGCCCAGAGAAAAATATTAGATTGCAGAACGAAAACTCTGGATTTTCTTTGCGACCAGATAGTTCGCGTTGACTCAGCAAGAATCATGATTCACTTCATCAAAATTGCAAAATAGGTACGGGGTGTCCAGACTAGCGGTATCAGTTTGTTTTTAACATATTTTAATTTTTATGAAGTAGTTTATTCCGAACGACATGATTGGAAGGCCCCGCAGTTTTCCTAACGAGAGAAAGTGAAAACAGAGGATCTATATCTCAAAAGTCAAAGCTCTCAACAGTATTTTAAGTTGATTCCACCAAACTCAAAACCAAAAAAAAGCAGTCTACGTCGGCACCTGGAAAGTTAAAACAGGTCTGCGCCAACCCATTAATTCTCTATAATAAGATATTAAGTCCAGGGGCGGATTTACCTATGTGCCGCCCATGGGCCGCCTTCTTTTCCCGCCCCCTTCTCATTTGTTTTAAAACATCAATAGATCGTATTCGACAGTGGTTCGATTTATCGTTTGGTTCAAAACAATAGAGCATAACCTCAAACAAAAATTTTAGGATTTAATTTGGAGAAGCTGAAAATGAGAAAATTCCTAACAATTTCACTTTTCATTGCCATTTGGTACTCGAGAGAATAAAAATTCGATCACATAAGACCCTTTACCTCGCATTTCTAAATTGATTTTTGAGGCTCGGTTACATTTGGAACCAATCGATATCAATATAATCTCACCTGTGTGATCCGTCGAATACTATCTATAAAAACCATCAAGTGAACGTGCCGGTGGGGGAGGGGTGTATAAGACGCGTTTACTCGAGTTGGGAACATTTTTTGTAAAAGCCCTGTCAACACTAACAAAAATTCAGTTCCGCAAACCCATCCCTGTTTGAACAAGCCTTCCATTTATAAAAAAGAACGAAAAAAATTATGAAAGAACGATCATGAATGTGGTTAAAAATATTAACTTCCACTGCCGCGCCGACCTCACTGTGTTGGCGCATTGCGTGAGGTATTCATGAAGTCTTGTAGGCGCTATGCGTTTCACGCCGACTGCTGATGACCACACTGTTTGGCGTAATGCGTGAAGTATTCATGTAGTCTTGTAGGCGCTATGCGTTTCAAGCCGACTGCTGCTGACCGCAGTGTATTTGACGCAATGCGTGAAGTATTCATGCAGTCTTGTAGGCGCTATGTGTTTCATGCCGACCGCCGCGCAGCTCCGTGCCAGGTCAAATTGCGGGCTTGGTTTCTCTCTTAACTCGACTAATCATTATAGGTGTTGTCTCTTGTATCACCGAAAGACGACAAAATTAGAATTTACTATACTTTTAATCTCCGGAAATGAGAGATTTTGTCGCCTTTTATCGTTTGTAATGCATTTTCTAAATCCGATTTTTTTCTCCCATTTTTGAGCTCGCCCACTCGGGAGAGCTCTTTGCGATCGATTTCTTTTAGCATTGGTAGTGTCCGTGGCGACAAATGGATGGTTCTCGTTGCCGTCGGAGGAACGGCCAAAATCCCATTGATTTCAAGGTCTAAAAGTTGAATTTTCGCGGGTTACAGTTTTCCTCCGTCGAACATTTCCGTTCCCTCATTCAACTGAGGATTAATTGTTCCTCGTTTGCTACACTAGAGAGCATCACTTTCCGGTGGCCGAGCAGACTTGACTCACACCAACACGAATTTGTTTGTGTATGTGTTCACCTTTATGCTAAATTATTTATATGTATTATTTTCCGTTCACATTTTCAAAAACTGAAGTCCTATTTTTTTGCTGTTCCGTTGCGATAAAATTATCAGCTGACTGCTATCTCTATGCTATCTTATTAGAGAATCTTCCAGTTTCCTCGGTTATTACAGAGTGTAATGGAAAATCCTTCTTTTCCGATGAGACAGTGACATCCTGAATTTTTCTATTTCCGATAAAATGAAGAGACGCTCTACAAACCAGGTACTGCTTTTTGAACTCATTTATTTTCTTCCTATTTTTTACGAAGTACTATACTTACTTTCCAGATAAATCTTAATAATTTTGTGAAAGACGAAGAATAAATGCGATAGAATTTTACACATGATTGTCCGCAGGAAAAGAAGGTTTATAGTTTACAGATTCAAATTTACTTGTTATGTGAAAGACTCCGTGTTGAGTTTTGTTGAAAAATTAGATTGTACAAGGTAATATGTACTCATATTAATGGGCTACTATTTAGCAATTTGGCAACACTGCCTTCCTTCCATTTAAACCTGTGTTGAATAATCGATTCTTGGTGGAGCACTTGGCCCCTCCTGGAATCGATACATTTACATATGTTTAAATGAGGAAAGAACAATGATGCCAAATTTTTGGATCTGATAATGCGCTGGTCACAGAATTTTTGTTGATGTACGTTTTTTGCCGAGTTTTACATTTTATAACCAGAGCAAATATGCGTTACATTGACTAATAATGGGCCTGTTGCAAACTTTTGCTAGAGCAAAAATAAGAGTTGTTTCCTATAGATAATGCCTCAAAAATCACGATGGGCGCATCGGAAAACTCTGAAATGCACTCATAACTTCACAATCTGCGTAAGAAATTTGCGTTCTTTTGATCTTCCCGCTTCAGAAACGATACTACGGCATAGGTGAACATTTTGTTAGCAGTGTTTGCCAACTTTTTTTGGCTAAGCATGAATCAATATATATATATTATCAGGATATGTATCTCCTGCTTATAAAAAAAAATATTTTAAATCTGATGTAAATACCATACTTAAATTTTTACCTTATGCTGCAAAAATTGTAATTATAGGAGATTTCAATTATGACGTGTTGAAGCAAGAAAACACAATTTATCATGAATTATTTCATAAATACGAAATTCATTCAGCACTACCAACACACTCTGTAACAACACAATATGGATCACAGCTAGATGTTATTTTCACAAATTTATCAAATTATAATGCTCAAACTTATTACACTGAATTCAGTGACCATTCACCTGTATATATGCAAATATAAAAATAAAAAAAAAATAAATAAATAAACTGAGTTTGTTGTTTATTTTATTTATTTTTTTATTTGCATATATACAGGTGGACGTGCATTATAATTTGATAAATTTGTGGAAACAACATCTAGCTGAATAAGGCATCAAAACTGTCAGGAACTGTGTCAGATAGTAATCAGAAACACCATGCCCCATGTACATCCACTAATAAAATTTATTGCCAATAATTGTCCTAGTTCATCTTTCCCTGTCAACTTTACAATAAATTTCGTTGTACCATTTTTCTATTGTATTTTGTCTTATCTCACTCTTATCTTCTGTTTTATTAATGATTCAGTTTATTTATTGCGGTGTGAAAAATTTGTCATGTTAATAGTTTCACGAAGGCGAGCTCTCCAACACAGTAGTGTTGGAACCAGCAGCTTGTTTGATACCTACATTCAAAAAGACTGCAAAATTTGCCGCCATGAGCCGCGGCCCACGTAGCCACCCCCTTAATCCGGCCCTGATTAAGTCGCAAAATTAACATGATGTCTCTGGATAAATGAAGTATGTAATGGATGAACTCCAAGAAATTTAAACTTCATGATGGTCCTGAAGTATCCCTAGCCCCTACCCCCAGGGTAAACGAGGGGGTCGTTAATTTGAAAGTATGGAATGCTCCTCTAAATGTTGGGTTGAAATTTTCAAAAAGAAACTCGCGGGACTTCTCACGAAATATTGTAATAAAACGGCAGCTTCCTTGTTAAAACGACCCCTTTAAGAACGGAAACAAGACCGCCGTTCATATTGATAAAAAAAAGAAAAAAAAAAATTATTCTACTACCCAAATTTATTGGATGGCATGGACATATCCAATTAATTTTGGTAGCACGGCAACTCAAGTTAGGGTAGTACCGAAACACTTGGGTTAGTAACCTAATTTATCGGAATACTACCACAAATAATTGGGATACTACCATAATTAATCGGGGTATTACCACAATTAATTGGGAATATCCATATCATCCAACAGTTGGGACTTAACCCCTATATATACCTTTTTTTTCCGTGTATCCTCCAAGCCCCTCATTCGGTGTTCCGCCGCAGTTTGATGCTTTATTTCCATAAAAAAATTCTATCATTTTCAAATTTCCTGTCTATCGTAGAATGATCCAATCTGCTGTCGTATGGCACTTATCTCTTTGACGAGCGAGATTGGCAGCAACGCATTCATGGCTCAGGTTCCGAATTGCGTTGCGTCGCGCGGGAATGGCTTGCGTTATGTTACATTGCAACGCTCTAATGAAATGCGCTCTTTCATTGTCAACTACTACGCAGAAGGCCTGGTTGCCAGACTAGTAACACATTACGTACAAAACTATCCACAGCATAAGATCCGAAAAATCACGACGCATTTGGCATCTGGATTTTCTCTCAAATCATACTCTTTTCTATTCGCACTACGTAACTTGCTGTTTCGTATACGACGCAAAGACCGCTGCATTCGGTTTCGAGAGTCCATACCCTTGGTCCACTCTCCTGATTGGCATTGCCACACTGATATGTATCAGACGAAAGTGAACTTAGTAACACCGATATGTTATAAGAATAGGAGACAATGGATTTTGATTTATACGCATTTTTTTTCTTTCCCTCCCGGTGTATGATTTCCGCAAGGGGGGGGGGATATATTCATTTCAGACCATTTTGCATTGGGGAGGGAGATTTTGACCGAAAATTAAAGGGAACTTGATTAATTCTAAAATAAATTACACTACTCAAAAGACAATTAAACTACAGTGATATCACTTCTGCCTAGAAGTGATTCTTAGTGATATCCTTATGTTTTTACTGTAACCGACCAGTTGCTAGATAAAGACCACAAAGTTGAGCGAAACTCATGATGTTGGTTACGCACCGTTTTTTTCCTAACTTTGTAGAACGGCGGAAAAATTCTGTACAGCAATTGGAAAGCCTTCTTATGATCCAAAGAAATAACCCATGAATTACACTCCCCACTCCGTCAACCTCGATACGCTCACATTTGGGTCAAATGTTATGCCGTCCAGACAAGTTTTTATTTAAACAAGTGAAATATCAGTGCCAATGTAATCAAGGATTTTTCGGTAAAAATGTGAACGATGCTTGCAAGGCTGCTAAGATAGTGCAAATTTTTATAGCGTTTGTGGCAAATGAAATCTATATATTCATAGTCGATTTACTTCTTTACAATAGCGAGGAAAAACTCGGAGCAGATTTAGGGAAAAATGTGTGGCAGAACTATCGAATAAGTTACTCGCAGCAGAAGAAATACGTTGCGTTGCACAATTTTAGCAGCATTGGAAGTCTCATGCGCACTTTCACCGAAAAATGCGTCAATTGATAAAAGTCACTAGGGCACATCCTTAAGACTAGCGAGGGGCAAGTTTTCCTCGCACTGGAAAAAAAAAACACACATTGGATCTATTTTGAAATAGTTGCTTGAGGAGCCGTCGCACGCTGCGGCCGCGGCCAGAACGAAACGCGCACTGGCGCCTACAAACCTAACAGGGATACTTCACGCATTGCGCAATGCGTGAAGTATCCCTGTTAGGTTTGTAGGCGCCAGTGCGCATTGCACAATGCGTGAAGTATCCCTGTTAGGTTTGCAGGCGCCAATGCGCATTCCACCGTGGGCTGACTGCTCCGCTCTATGTTAGGTTCTAATATTTCGACGTTGGATTCGCCAGTATTATAATAATAATTGAATGGAAAGTCACATCATTAAAAAGGAAAATATATAAATTTATTTTTTATCTTTTAACAAGTATAGGTCAATTAGGTCATCATCGGGATATGCTAATCAATGTAAACACTGGAAAGAAAACACATTGGATCTGGAGTCCAGACTCTTGAAAACATGGACAAGAAAAAATACTCTTGATTCAATCGGATTTTTGCTGGAATCGAAACGAAATCCGCTCAAATTAAGAGGCTTGGTTCTTGATTTAAGCTAGATTCTGATTGAATAAAGAGTACTTTTTCTTGTCGATGTTTTTAAGAGTCTAGACTCTAGATCCAATGTGTTTTTTTTTCCAGTGCACCATTGTCGTTGTAGTGACAAGTGGCTAAATCTGGGAAATGCGCAAAAACGACTAGAAAGCGAGCACTTGCGAGCAGCTACGGTGGGGGTGAGGGATGACGGGAAGGGAATGGGGGGGGGGGCGAATGACTAAGCGCGTCAAAATTGCGAAGTGGCAAAATCGAACGGAGGATGGGTTGCAGCGGCTCCGCGACAAAGAGAACAGGTCATTCTTGCCCTCTGTTGCCGCTCAAAAGCTGCGCTCCCTGGAACCGCTGTTTAGGCAGCAAGTCTCACTTTAATTTTGAAGCATCAATGGATTTTCATAGGAAATTTTTGATGGCGTTTTCCATCTTGGAGTTCTCTTGCGGAAGGAAACAGCCCTAGGGTAGATATGACAATGATGCAACAGGTGATAGTGGCTGTCGTTAGCCGGGTCACCGACGACGACAACGCACAGTGGATCCAGTCGATAGGAGAGGTCGGACAAGTTTTGGAAACTTTAAACGCGTATAACTCCGTTTATACAAATCTTCGAGGTTCTATAAGTGGTTTAATTGGTTTCCTCGTAGAATTTCCTTCTAAAACCACCCCTTAAAATTTAAAATGTGACAAAATCAACATCAAAATTTGCAGTTTTAGTCGAAATTTTCATGTCCGACCTCTCTAATAGACTCGGTCCACTGTGCGACGTCGCGACGTCAGCGGGGCAGACGCAGCGAGAGCGTTGCGACGACGCGGCTCGTCATGGTGGTGGTGTGGCTTAAGCCGCGTTTCCACATGGAGTACGCGGGCCGCGCGGTAAAGGCGCAAGATCAGGTACAATGATTTCAACTTGAGCCTGCTTATGGGCGCAATGCATTAGTCACCGAAGTCTTCACTGGAAAAAAAAACATATTGGATCTAGAGTCCAGACTCCTAAAAACATTGACAAGAAAAAGGACTCTTGATTCAAGCAGATTTAAGCTTGAATCAAAAGGAAATCCGCTCAAATTAAGAGGCTTGGTTCTTGATTGAAAAATATGATTGAATCAAAAGTATTTTTACTGTCGATGTTTTCAAGATTCTGGACTCTAGATCCAATGTGTTTTTTTTTTTCGAGTCATGGGTGACGGACGGACTTAAGGTGAATGATACTCTCTGCGTGAATGTAAGGGATATATGGACAAGCTCCGCCACTGATAGCGAGTTGCTCTTCTACACCTACACACAGGGTGGCAAAATTTCACGAATAATAATATCTTGAAATATTTCATGAATTTTCAGATAATACGGAAATATATTGAGAAGTACATGTTCCTTTTCATGTTTCACAAAATGTAAGCAATTGTGACCCTTCTATTTTTGCGTGTTTGAGTGCGAGTTGCATACTCTAGCCCCTGAAAAATATTGAATATTTCACAGCCTCGTGAAATTTCATGAAATATTTTACTGATAGTTCCAATCTTTCTTGCGTTTCATGCCACTCTGCCTACAAGTAGTATTGCATTCTACGAATTAATATGCAACAAACGGGCCCATAACGTGTAGCAGGGCCGGGATTAGGGGGTGGCCACATGGGCGCGGCCCATGGCGGCACATTTAGGGGGCGGCAATTTTTTCTAATGTAGGTATAAAAAAAAATCCAATTCAGAAAGAACATTGCAAACGCGAAAAGGCGAAAAATTTTCTCATTTCCTGGAAGTTAAAGTATAGTAATTTTAATTTTTTCGTCTTTCGGTGATACAAGAGACAGCACCTTTCAATACTCAAGTTAAGAGAGAAACCGAACTCGCAAGTTGGCCCTGGAGCGGAGCGGCGCAGAGAGCAATGGTGCCTCGGACTTGAGATGAAAAGGAGACGTCCTCGGCGCGGCGGTCAGCATGAAACACATATTAGCGCCTACAAGACTCCACGAATACTTCACGCATTGCATCAAACGAAGTGCGGTCAGCAGCGGTTGGCGTGAAACGCATAGCGCCTACAAGACTGAATGAATACTTCACGCATTGCGTCAAACAGAGCGGTCAGCGGTCGGCGCGGAGTGAAAATCATAGCCCCTACAGGACTGTAGGTATACTTCACGCCTTGGGGGAAAAACATTGCGGTTGGCGCGGCGACGGAAGTTAAAATTATTAAACCCCATTCATGTTTCTTCTTTCATAATTTTTTCGTTCATCTATCATAAATGAAAGGCCTTGTCCACGCAGAGATAGGTTTACGGAACTTACCTTTCGCGCAGAGTTCCGTGAACTTTTGTTAGTGTTTAC